AGGAGCAAGGCAAGGCTGGATTCAAATTCCTGAGCTAGGGGTGAGGTTTTGATTGGGATTTTTAAGCTAATAACTCTTTGATGTGAAAAACAGAAACTCTTCTGTGAGCAGGATGCTGAAAGACATTCTTGCTCAGATATTTAATACAGATTTATCATAAAATGATTTATGTAATTTTATCTTTTACAAATAAATTGCGGCTTTTATATTCACTGTTCTAGGAAAATAATTGTATTTAAATGTTCCCATTCCAAGTACTCTATTTTAATACAAGATTTAGTGTGCTGTAACTTGAAAGCAATAGTTATGCATGAAGCGGTGAAAGTTGAACAAGCTACTTTAATTTTGACACCTGTGGCTCCTTGAGTGCCCCAGTACTCAGCATCAATATTATCATAATGTGATATTTAAGTAGTTACACAAAGGAATCAGGCTATGAACTCACAGAGGAAACTAAAGGGCTTTACAGTAAAACTAACCAACACTTAATATTCCCAGGCTTACAGATCATAGTGGGCTTTTTCACATGTTCAGAACCATGGCTTTCCATTTAATTCTGAAGAGCTTATTTTGGGTGCAGCCTCAAGAGGGACTCATTAAGTTTTGATGCTGCAGATCCTGATGTGTCAAGACATCAATATTATTTTCCATATTTACCCCCAGTTTCCTGGCAGTGCTCTCCGAATCACGTAAACGATCCAGCCAGATCCTAATGGACTGTGACTCTGGCAGGGCTGCAGGATTTAGAGATATTCTAGAATATTTTAGAAAAGTAGGACAAATTTTACTAGAGGAAGGCACTATTATTACATATAGCCTTACCAAAAAGAGAGCAATCACGTCAGCCACTTTTCCTCTATATCACACCCTTCTTATCCTCAGTCTATTTGTTAGTTTATTGTCATGTTCCTTAAAAAACAAGGTTCTTGGAAAAAAAAGAATTAAATTTATGGATGTGTTTGAACATCACTTGACAAACTGTACTATGGAAAAATAGAAGCAAGAATAACATTTATAAAATTTTAAAATTCAATATAAAACATGTTCATCCACTAAGATGTATCAAATTTAAGTTGGTGGTTTTTGGGAACAAAATGAAGAATTCAAGCCTCATTCAATTTTGGTCCCAATGTTTTATGTTTTCCTCAGCTTGTCAGGACAAAGAGATATGGGTCACAGCTGAATGGAACTGTTTTGTCAAAGAAAACCTGAAGTCAAATGTCATTGTCATTCTATATAAATATTCAGCATGTATGCAGTTCCTTCCAGGCAACTTTTCTTTCCTTTTCAGGGCACTGGCCTGAGTTAAATTTCTCAACAGAAACGTAAAAAGCAAAAGTAAAAGCAAAAGTAAAAAAAAAAAAAAAAAAAAAAAAAAAAAAAAAAAAAAAAAAAAAAAAAAAAAAAAAAAAAAAAAAAAAACAAAAAAGGCATTAAATAAATGGTTCCAAAATGCATATTCACACACTTTCCCAGCTGAAGGCTTTAGAGTGCTCACTGAACACTTATTCACTGAAGACAGGTTAAATTCACAATACTTTTGATGTCACAAGACAAGCTTTGTCTAAAATGTTAATGATGTTGTTTTACTATAGGAACTTTTTCTCCATTTTAAGGAAAAAAAATAAATCAGACATAGCAGAAGGAACACTAGGAATACCTGAGCAGTGAGACCACAGCCTACCATGTGTAAGGCTGGTTCCCCGTTGGCAGCTGTCACAAATAATCTGGACTTGCTGGAATCCAGCTTCTCATCCCCAAGCACAGAAGTGATGAAGATGGCATGGCACAGAAACCTCATCTGCACCAGGGTTAACCCCATCCTCTCTTCACACACGTCCCTGAGCTGCCTTCACAACACTGAGCAGAGCAACCTCAACTGTGCTGCTCATCTTGCTGTTTGAAAACCAAGATTTTTCCATTATTTTTGGCTAGTAATGATATCCTTTTTTTTCTTGCCTCAGTATTCCTCCTCTTCCAAGAAGCAGTTATTAAAGTTAGAACTTCAGTGTAATAACAGTCCAATGATAAAAAGCATGTGGTTCCCATAGAAACTTGCAGGGCATACTCACAGTTCCTCGGCAGTAGGGACGCACATCACTGTGTCTGGTGGTCTTTGTGTCCCACTCTCTGTCACCTTCTGGATGACATCTCTGGGCATCTAACAGACACGGTTCTAACTTCTGGATACCCCAGCTTCCAGGGCAAAATGCTGCTATTGTTGTGAATAGAAATGCTTTAGGTATCTCCTCCATGTTGAGTGAGTGCTGGTTGTGTGCTAAGGGACTATAACAGGTGAGAAGAGAAATGGGGAAATGATATGAGAGCATTTCTCTCTCCATTTTCTTTTTCCTTTCCTATAGTCACTTGCCATCACAAGCCAAGTCTTCAGCTTCGGCATTTAAATTAATCCTGCTGGGTTTAAAGAAGGCTAGTGATTAACAATTATTCATCTCCATACTTTAAGCTGCATCCTTGAGCATTCCACATACTTTCACCTAGCCAGGGCAACAGCCATTTTTGCATCTCTTTTAGAGCCTGCATTTGCAGTTTGTACGTCCACCATGAGATGGCATTGTCAGTTCCCACATTTGTTCCACTGTTCGGCGTGGTCAGGAGCCAAACCTGCCGCTGTACTTCTCGTGGAAAAGTCAGGGGTGTGTCAGCACTCATCCCACCAAAAGCATGTGTAGCTGCTGGGATCACTAGAGGACAAGTGCAGTGTAACTATGGAAAGAGACAAAGTTTTTAAACCTTCTCCAAGAAAGTGCAAGGAATAAAAATATCTTCTTTAGCGATAAATGTAAAGATCAAAAGGGAAAAAAAAATCTCTGTTCCCAGAGAGACTGATGCTCTGAAAATTATAATAAAAGCAATTTTACTTAGAAGTACTTCAGAATATGAAAGAAAACCCAAACTGAGAATTAGACATTTTAAAAAGGACTAGCAAGGTATTTTGCTCAAAATGATGGCCCTGATCCTCAATTAAAGCTGGAAATAAGTCAGGGCAGCTAAGAACTAGGTGTTGATTTAGCAGTAGCCTGTTCTGAGTTAATCTCCAAAAACAGAGTAAAACAACCATGTCTGCCCTGACCTGACAAAAATCTTCATATGTTCCTCTTCTTGCATCACTCACAAGCACTGTTTGAATATCTGTAAAATGCTGAAGGTTGTTTATTGTTTTCATTTTTTCTTCTTTCTTATTTTTCATTTCTGTACCTTAATTCTGAATTTCATTAGTAATATGGGGCTTCTTGCAGTATCCCCTTTCATTTTTCAGCAGGGGCATTTATTCTAGTATGCTTTGTGGCAATAACACAGGCCAGCTTATTGATCCCAGTGGGAACATCCACATGATTCAAACAGTTCATTTGCTTACATGTTCAGCTGAATTGGTGCTTTCCAGCATTAAATTCATCTTACAAATTTACATAAATTTGAGCTCACAGTCCTGGATTCATTAGTTTGATCAAGAAGCAGAGAGTGCTTTCTCAGTTGTCTTTGCCCATTCAATTAACTCTAAATTCACCTGGGAATGTTTCTGAGAGAAATGGGTCTACACTGTGATGTGGACATGTAACGTAAGATATGTACCAGTATCTACCTTCCTGGAAACTTATAGAATTGATACTATTTCTCAGCATCAAAAATTAAGACCATTAAGAAAAATATATGTTTATTCTGGTATATTCTGACTCTCTTTAATTTAGAAGTGCTTTATAAAAATCATTTTGTCTTGGCTGATAAGTCAGTGATGGAGATGTGAAACCAGAAGAGGCACACACATGTACATGTAATTATTCTCCTCATAAAAAACAGTCTCATAAGGATAGGACTGGAATCCATCACAAGTAAGGGGGTGAAAATTTTGGTAAGAAAGTGGTAACAAATAGAAGAGAGTGTCTTTGCAAGATACTGCCCCAACAGAGAAAATTTCTGTTCAGTTAACTACAGCATCAACCCTGCACATTAATCATCTGCTTTCCTCCTCCCCAAAGCCACTTCTTGCCCTCTCCACAGAGGGTCCTCCCACTCACTTTTACAAATGTTAATTAATTGCTGTACATGAAGTAACACGGGTGAAGAAGGGAATGGAAACTTCTTAAAATGGTTGCAAGACATTAAAATATTTGCCACTCATGAAAATTACCACTATAGTTTAAAATAAAGCATCATTGCTTAGTTAAAAAAGACAAATGTATACAAGTCTGGAATTTGTGAAGCATAAACAAATTTATTATTATTTATTTCTTATAAATTGATTTTATTGTTGATTTTGGCAATCAACTATACTTGTATCTTGAGAAAAAAATTAAAAGTCTCTAAAAGTCAATAAAAACTACTCCAATTGATCAGATAGTGTATTTTTTAAGTCTACCTTTATTTCAGGTAATGCAGTACTAATAGCATATTCCTTTGATAAGTCTTCAGGGTTTCCAGAGGGAGCTCTGAGATACAATTTCAGTGTTTTAGCCAAGCATTTTTAGGTCTGGAAGCAATTTGTTAAAGTACCTGAGTACAATAAATAAAGTTTCATCTTTCTGGATACATTTCCTTCCAGTACATCATCTCTGAAGACTGTAGTGCAGATTCCCCATTCTGGATGCCACCATCTGTAAGTTGAATCCTACAGATGATAGGTGCACACTAAAAGCATTAATACATCACTGTTTTTTTCAAATTTGCATAGATAAATCTCAGAACATATCAGCTAAAGGCACTTTTACCCTTAATGATATTTTTATGTTCATTAGACATTACTGCAACGAATACAACTGAAATACAACTACCAGCTGAAATGCAACCACCAGCTTATTCTAGCCTTGTTAATCCATTTTATTTTTAAAGACACAGACAAATTTTCTACCCCAAGATTTTTTCATCTCTGATAGCAGAATAGACCAGCTGTATATGATTTTTTTTTCTTGATTTTCTGAAGAAATGGTACCACTTTGGGTAAAAAAGTTATTTATTCTATATCTGAACTACTTTATCCACAGAATGGGACATTTCATGCCAAAGAGAAGTGTTCAGAAGATGCAGCACTTAAACATTTTTAAGATTAATGTGACAGCATGAGAATCAAGAGGTAGGCAGACTGTTGTTTTTTTGCTTTTTATTTTAACAGCCTGGAAGGGGAGTTCAGAAATACAACTGACTGACAAATATTCAGTAGCATTTTGTCGAAATCTTTATTGGATATAAAATGTTTCAAGTAAAACATTTTGACTGATGTCTGTGGTGTGGAAATACACCTTGGTTCCCGTCTGAGACCCTGTTGTACAGAAATTGTAGGCACTGCAACTCCAAGTACAGATCTGACATGAGAGGTCTAAACGCGTTGCAAGAACATTCCAGGACTTCCAGATCCAGAGCATGAAAATCACTTGGAGCCTAGTATTTACAGGACACCCAATTTATGGGGAATCAACAAAAATCCAGAGTGCAGACCCAAAAGGATGTGGGATCCTCAGAAGTTAACAGATAACAGAACAAAACTCCTGTGCTGGTGTTTAAATGCCTTGCTGCTTAGCTGATGTCAGAGAACATGGCACTCAGGGTCAAGTTCTTAATTTTGTGTTTATTATCATCATCGTCATATTTCATCATTTGTGCTGTTAAGGCCTGTCCTTGTCCTGCTTTCGGTGAACACCCAAAGCAAGGTCAATGACAGCATGTGCAGAGGAGTTACCAGTGTGACTCCTGTTCTTAACTTGTACTGAACTAGGAAGGTTTTGGTTCAAGCTAGGAGCAAGACACAGAAATGTGATGTTTCATGGTTAATGTCTAAGATAGTTTCCAGTTCTTGTATAGTTTAAGATATTTAATCTTAAGTTTTACCCTTGCTGTTCTAGAATAAATATGTAACTTCAATCATATCTTTACCTCAAACACCCAGGGTGTAACTTTTGTATGCTAGCACAGTGTGGCTACAAACACTGTGTGTATCACTGCACCTCACTGGCATTGAAAACTGCTGAATCTTGTGCAGAAACTGCAGGCATGTCAGTCTCCGCTCACCCATGGGAGACTGTGAATGTTGTAGTGTGGTGATCTCAAGCACCAAGTATTGATAAATGGATGTAACTCAGCTTTACCTAAGGTGTTCCTGCCTTTTGCAAAAGGTTTGGACTAGATGACCATTTAAAGATCTCCCCCAACCAAAACCATTTAGGGATTCCGGGGTTTTTCATCTAGCTGTTGTTATCTAACCCAAATACATGATAATTTAAAAATAAATAAAGTCCTCAGTAAGCAGTAGTGATTACCTGATTGTTCAAGGTCTTTTGAGCAGAAGATTTTTCCAAGTCAGTGGCAGAAGTCCACAATTCCAGAGGAAGGTGAAGGTATAGCTGAAATTGAAGACAAATTTGGCTCAGGAGGAATCTGTCTGAATGTCCCTTTGTAGTGTGATTGTGCCTTTCCTGGCAGTTATTTTGGCCCCCTGCCAGATCCTACCCTGAGGAAAGTCAAGTACAGTAGGAGCACTGTTTAAATAATCAGTGTTTGTGCTTAGAACTATCCATTTTCAAATGCAGCTCAGAAGAAAGTATAAAGTTGTGAGGAGTAGGTGAGGGTTTCAAAAGATCAAGGAAATAGCCTCTTGTGTGTCATGAATGGCTTTCTATGCACAGTGCTTTAATGTGACAGGTATGGAATTTATCCTCTCCTATTTTTGGAATTGTTTAATGGTCATTTTGTACGTCTCAGATGGCCGGTTAAGAAATTAGGCTGAAACACTGGATGGCCATATTATCAGCCTGCAAACTCAATTTTGAATGTTGATTTGATTTATAAATGACACTGTATCCTGGATTCTGTCTGGACATTTCTCCTTGCTGGATGGCATGGTGCTAGCTTGAAATGCAGAGTCTGCTTCCCTGTCCTTCATAGCAAGTTAGCTGCAGCCTATGTGGAATAGTTAGGATTTTAGGTGGGCTTCAAAAAACAAAGGTATCAACTGGCTTGTGCTAGGGGTAGGATAAAAAGTAAATAAGTCAGCTGAAACTTTACATAACAGTAACTTTAATAACAGGCATTTATGAGGAATGAGGAGTCTTGCACAGGAAAATAATGGAGGACCTGAAGGAATGAACAGGCTCACTTAAAGAAGTAAAGATTTGAAAGACACTTCCATTTCACTGTCTTTCAACAACTGATTATATTTTGCACAGTGTTCATATGTGAAGCATGATTATTTTAGAAGCCCCACTGAGAATATTCTCCAAGCCTTTCTTTGGCTGTTGCATCATTTTTAACCAGTGAGAAGCTAAGCCCTCAAGTCCAGAATTTTGAGGATTGTGCAGTTTCTTCTGAAAGGCTCTGGAAGAATTACACTGTTAAGTGGACATGGGTTGTCAGACTGTAGAGCACTAATTTTCAAGAAAGAGCAAAAGTGAGAATATCTGAATCGCAAAAAGCCTGATTAGAAGAGCTGAGTTTGTAAGATACCATTGGAATCTCATTAGCTGTTTCAATTTAAGGGCAAGGGATAGCCAAAGATTGAAGATTCTTGCTGAAGTCTGGTAAGCATCTTAGTGGAGTGTCCACCAGACCATAGAAAAAATGCTTCTGGGTTTTGTTGGTGCAATGCTGTTTTCTAATTTTGCTCTCCATGGAGCAAAGATTTTATTCCCCTCCTCAATAATAAAATATCCTGTCTCAATGAGTGCACATTATGTATATTTAATGTCTTATCACTAAATGCCCTTGTAAAAAGCCCCTCTCCATCTTTCACCAAAGAAGAAATGATTTACTGCAAGGATGGGGAGACACTGGAACAGGTTGCTCAGAGAAGTGGTGGGTGCCCCATGTGCTGTGCATTTTCTAATCTGAGCAGCCATTTCCACTTGGTAGAACAGAGGTTGATAAGAACCTGCTGCTGTGGGGCTTGTGCAAACTGGCTTGCAGGAATCACAAAAGGAGAACATAAAAATTCACAAATGTGGTAGGCATTGTTTTTCTGTGTTTGGGTTTATTTTTTTTTCCACTGTTGACCAGACCCTACTTATACTTACTTTAATAACTAACATTATTAAAATTTATGCACTTTCCCTTTTTTTTCCCTAGTCTACTTTCCTGGCTGTAAGTAAAAAGGTAAAATAGAAGAAAAGTCAAAGCAAAAGGTAAGTTTGTAACAAACACTTCAAAAATATCTACTTTTTTGTCCTGCAGGTTTCTTTTGTGTGTGTGTGTGTATTTTAATTTCTTTTTTAATTTAAATTATTATTTAAGTATTTCTGTTTCTGGTTTGCTAAGTTCCCTGAACTTATAGCTGATAGCAAAAACTGCCAGTGTGAAGGTCTCTTTACACTGTTGTTTGTATGATGAAGGTGAAGACCTCATGTTTGTGAAGTTAGCTCTCTATTACAATATTGGCAGAAGAACTGTTTATGTTACATACTGCTTATAAACATGTAATATTTGATATTGTTTTGATGAAAGGCACATTGGAAGGAAGAAATCAAACTTATACCTTGTTTCTGTCTCTGCTTGGTTGTTTGGGAAGGCTTTCTCTAAATCCCCAACATTGATAAGAGACATTTGAGAAGTTCCCCCTAGCCAGACCAAGCCTAGGCTCACAAGCACAGTTCCATTATTTCATCTGGATTTTATTACTGCAAGCAGCTTACCCAGCTGCATAGCAGGAATGTTTAACCAGGAGCAAGACAAACTTCCATAAGCTGCTTAATTCAGGCTTGGGACTGTTCCTTCAAATCAATTGATATTGAAATAATTACTTCTCAGAATCTGTAGAGGAAAGGATGTAAAAAGAAAATTAAAATCTAATTACATGGAGGTAGAAGGCAGTGTCTGAGCAGACAAATCTTAAGCTTTAGCAAATTTTCAAAGGTTACGTTATTCTTTTTGTCCCTAAAAGTCTTTTTACTTTTCTCTCTTCCTCTTGCACTTTTATCACTGTTTTTTAAGCACAAGGAAAGCTTTTTTTTTTTTTAATTTATTTCTAGATTAAATTTGGGTAAAATTATTTATAGATAACTTTTATTAATATGTATAAGGAAAATGTCACCCAACAGAATTGACTAAGGTACTCTGAGAGTGTCAATGTCCTGAAAAGAAGAATATAATGCTGTTTTCCCAAGAGCAAGGGTCTTTATTTGTAGTGTTTGCAGCTAAATTTCAGCTTAGGCAACTGTTTTGGTTCCTCTAATTCCCTCTTTATAAACTATGTAGTTGTTCTCCTCTCTACTATTAAACTGCAGGTAGTAGTATAAATTCACTGTGGTGGATGAAGTAATTCATGTATAGCATAGGCTAAACTCCCTTCTTCTTTTCAATAAATTTATACTAATTTAACTGTCCACCTTACTGGAATTATAATAATGGAGAGCAGAGCTCATGATACTTTAGTGAGGCAGAAAGAAGAAAAATGGCCACGTTGAAAGTGTATATATGTAATGTAAAATCACTAAGAGTTTTGCTTTTTCTTGGCAGGGAGGAGTTAAAGTAAAGCTGATGCATTTTTAAGGAAAATTACACTGGAAATATGGAAACTTGTTTGTTTGTTTCAGCACAAGTCTAAATTGAAAGCAGACATATTGGAGTGCATAGGGTAGGAAATGGGGCTTGAACTTCACCTAGGAAAAGTATTACAGGACAGAGGGAGAGGAAGGGTTTATATTGTAGTCAGGGTATTCAAAAGCAGTTTTCTGAAGTGAAGCAGCTAATCACTAAGACAACAAAAATGAACAGTGGCCATATAGAAATACATGAGGAAGAGTAAAAATGGGGCAAGCATGTGCAAGGCTTAACAAACATGTGTACATGGTCTCTGAACCTCCTGCTTTATTCAGGGGATTTGCCAATTCTGTTGTAGCTTGTCTGCCTGGTAATGCCAAATGTACCTATCCCCCAAATATTTATCCCTTTTTTCCTTGAACCCATATAAACATTTTTGTATTCACAACTTTCTCCAGCAAGATATTACAGGTTTATGTTACCCTGTGCCTTCCTTGCTACTTTGAACATGGTTCCCTGTAGGTTCATTTACTGGACTTCCTTTAAAAGACCATCTATCCCTATCCAGCCTTTCCATGTCTTTTCATGATTTTTCACCTGTTATATTCTGCCTAAATCCCTGCCACTGCCTGAAATATTTTGCCTACCAATTGTCTACTTCATAGGGAAGCCACTAATTTTTTACTGTTCTGTCCTCTTTTTTTCCTGTTCCCCCTTCTGAAGGTTTTTGATTTTCTAATAACAGATTATTTTCAAGCCAAGGGTTTCAACCATACACACACCATTCTTAAATATTTATATTCAGAAAGATAAATTGTAGATTTAAACAGTGGCATAGTGACCTGTTCTGTTTATCTTTCTTTTGCTAATTCCAAATATTTCCTTATTTTTTTTCACTGCTATTGAGTGTTCACTTGTTACTTTGTGGAACCAACTGCTGGTCCAATTCTTTCTCTGCTGATGGTTATTAGCAGTAATTTTCCTTGCTTTATGCTTATTTCTACCAGATTTCACCTGCCAGGTGAATGGTTTTGTGAGATCCTTCAAATGTCACAGTCCTTCCTCATCCTCACTCCTTTTAATGCTTTTTCTATCGCTGGCACACTTCCTTGCCTTACCACTAACACTGCTTTCAAGGTTAAGATGCAATAAAATGAATAGCACAAACTCAAGAGTTTCCACTAATTACTTTCCTCCACTGCAATACTGACCAATTATCCATATCATACCTCCTCCACCTCCCATCTTTTAGCCACTTGCTTCCTCATTCCTAAACATTTCCCACTTATTCCACTGCTGCCTAGTTGTTTTAAAAGCCTATGGTAAGAGAGATAATAGAAAAAAACCAAAAAACACAAAAAAAAACATTTTGGTTGTATAACTGTTTTTCTGTTCATGATTTCTTCCAAAACTTGAATAGTTTGATGAAACACAAGACTACCCCATGCAGGGCCTGTGCTGGTATCTGTATCTGACACACAAATGTATGGAAGTTGTATCTTTGTAGTTGCCCACTAATTATACCTAGTGCAAATTGTATTACGTTTCTCATTGGATTTTCATCCTTTTTCCTATGATTTGCATAAGGTAAAAAAGTTTTGCATTTGCATAATAATAAACACTATTCTGAAAAGTGTGTTCTTTGCATTCATTCAGATTTTTCTAAATCATTACTTTCAAAGTTCACTCATGGTCGGTCTTTGTTTAAAATATTGCATCTTGGTTCCCCTGCAGTTCAGATGAAGTCTATCCCTCTTGTACAGACTTTTTTTCAGATGTGTACCTAGGTATTGTTACAAATTGAAGAAAATAGACTTTTGGAGTCGAAGGCTTCAGATAAATTTGTACTGGCTTCACACTGAATCTTTATCAAATAGACATCTTGAAGGAAAAGACACATTTTAATCACAAAAGGTTGACTTTTGTTTTAACACTAGGAAGAGATAAGTTAAAAACATTTGAAAGTGGATTTTGTGTTTAATGCTTTGCTGAAGAGATCTTGTGCAGCAAAAATATCCTCAATTTTGTGTTAACTTGTTTGTGGAAACATTGGATTTTTTTTCTTCTCAAAACCAGCATTATAATGAATCGGCAAATTTATCCAACTTCTGCTTGTGAATACTCGAAATATTAATGAATATATTGAGCTGGTGATGGGGTTAGTGATGCATTGTAGAAATGTTAAAATTTCATATAGTCCTGCTTCATTCCTATAGCTATAATGAAGAAGGCTGTATTGTGGATAATTTAGATAATCTGTAGGGGAACTAAAGCAATGACTGTGAAGGAGAATGTGGCATGTCATCCCCCTAGGCCATGGAGCACTCCATTTGCTGGAATAGCTTCTAACTGCCATTTAGTGGGCAGCTAGTGGAAAATAAAATTGCTTCAGGCAAGTGCGAATCTTATTCTGTATTATTAATGTTTGCAGTCTGGGTGAGGAATAGGGTAAACCAACTCCATTTCTAATAAGGGGAGAAAACTGGAGGCTAAAGGAAAGGGAGGAAAAGATCAATATCTACTTTTAGCAAGATTTCTTTTGAAGGATTGTTTGTGTTGTGCTGAGTTTTTGCTGGGGGTGGAGAGAGGTAGGAATAGTAGATTAGACACCTGTAGCTTCTTCTGGAGACAGTGATTTCTGTTATCTAATGGTCATCCACAAGTGACTTGTTGATGAAGTTGGTAATCTCTGGTTTGCAAGAGCTCAGATATTTCGGAGAAACTGAAGAGAGGAGCATTATGTGAGAGAAGCATTTCACACCCTGAAAGCTGGATGAGTTTGCCATAGTGTGCTGAAATCCTCCGGGAAAATGAGAATGTAGATTTTGGGTGCTAACAAGTGATGAGATTTCCACTAAGAAAATCTGAGAGATTTCAAATTCTCTGAGTTTGTGTTTTGTATGTTTATTTGGTTTTGGTTTATTTAGGTTTTTTTTTGGTTTAGTTTTGAGTACACAAGCTAAAGTAAAGCCAGCTTTGTGGTATTGAGGTGGTAAAGTATTACTAATCTATAGAAATTGGCTTCAGAGGATCTTGTTCATCTGAGGATCTGTGTGTCCATTTATACCAAAAACTATTGAAGTCTAGGAGGACTGTGGAAGGAGTCCAACAGAAAACCTTTTCTTCCAAGTTTTCCACATCCTAGCCCTAGAGGAAACTTTCATCTTTATAAAATAGATTTCCCAAAATGGTGTCATCTGGGAACTGGCTGCCCTCAGGCTACAGAGAGGAATGCTTCAGAGAGAATACAATGTTTTCAGCAGGATGGTATGATGATCCCACCTCAGGCAAGATTTTCTCTTCTTTCCCACTCAAATTTTCTGTCAACTCTTTTCTCAGTGTTCCACCTGCTCTCCTGTAGACTGGATGTTATATAGCACATTTCCCAGAAGAGAGACATAAGAATGTCTCTCTTCTGGGAAATATCTTCTGAACTGCCCATGGCTTTTCTTCCTGATACCTCCTAGTTACCTACCTGATACCTCCTGGTACCTGCTCAATCAGATTGAGTAGGGGTGTGCATGACTTCATCAAGAGAAGAAAGCAGTGTGTTCCAGAACATGTGGGCTATAGCACACATGTGACGTGAACAAGAGTGGTTGGTACTCCAGTCTAACATGCACATAAACTCTAATACCCATATTCA